GCAGCGAACGTGTCAGTGATAGAAATTGGAGGTTAGTACTCAAAATATTGCATCAAATAGTAAAATAATTCGTGGCTGCTTTGACGCTTTCTGCGGTTCGATATAAGTACATCTAGAACGTCTTCGTCGTTCATCCACAATGAAATATGAGAACACGGACACGCAAGATAAAAGCAGCGCAGCAAAACGATCTGTAGCAGCTCCGGGTGTTTACAAAAGTTAATTGAGGCTCCCGGTTCGTGTATCGCTAGTTCATTACTAAAAACGGCTGCGTTGAAAGGGGCCTATTGCAAGCAAAAATTTATGAATGGTTCATCATTTACAGTCACGCGGAAAGCGGTGGAGCTTCCAAACATTGCAGCCGCACGTGCCTGGCCGAATTCCATGCAAGCTACGAGGTCCTTGGGCGGTATTCGACGCTTTCTATCGTTATTCGTGCACCCTATGACCGAGCAATGGTGTCCCGATGACCGGCGGACTGTTGCCATTGAAACTCGTGGCTCTAATTAAGTTTGCGAGTCTAAAACAGAAAAGAAAGCGCGAAAGAAGTTGGGGCACAGCAGACGCCCAACACCGACCAAGCCTCTCATCCGGGACTTTTACTCTTTCTACACAATCAGAAAGGGGGAAAGCGCCGGTAGCCCTTTCCCCTTTTCTCTCTCGCTCTCAAAATGGCGCTACCCACAGTAGCGCCAGCCACGCCTTTCCCTGTGCCGCCTCTCACCGTGATTGGTCACGCGCGGTACCATAGCAACGAGCTGAGCTGGCTCGGTTTCCTTAGCAACCGAGTGACTACTCGTCACGTGACCACGCAAGCACCGTGATGTCACCGGTAAGATGGCAGCGCCCAGAGCTGGTGGGGACAGGTTTGTTCGGTGCGCGGTAGTCGTAATGTGCCGCTGCTTGCCGACGATTCCGGACTTCTTCGTGCTCTCTGACGCAGGTATAACGTGAAGATCTGAAAGAATGTGACTTTATACCTTTTCTGTGCAAGATCTCTTTGGATATTAGCACCTGTGCGACAGCGTCAGTCATATCGCCGTAGCGGTGCTCGGATTCCTGGATGTGTTCAAGGATCGATAAGACATTTTTCATGCAATTCGCATACTCCTAGCCTTGTTTGAACGTTGGAATGTCTGAGAATCGATGCGAATTGTATGCGTCGCATGTTGGACCTTGGGGAAGTTGTTTCAGCCCCAGGTAACCGCGTAATCACAGAAACTTTTAACGAGCAAGCACCTGCGATATTGACGTTTTGTACTAATCAACGATTTTACGATATAGCTTTTAGGATTACATTTTCGCATTTTCTAGCTTCCTTTGAATGTTGGAATTTCTGAGAATCGAAACGAAAAGTATACCTCGTGTGTAGGGCCTAGGGGAAGTTGTTTCAGCCCTGGTGGGTCACCGAATAATCACAGCAGCTTCAAGCGAGGAAGCGCCTGCGACCTTTAACCTTTTGTACTAATCGACAATTTTACGAATTGACAGTTCTGAAGACTTTGATAAACGTCCTTTCGTTGCAGTAGCTTGCATTTGATTGCAGTGTTTTGTTCGTTTTTTTTTTTTTTTTTTTTTTTTTCAAGTGACAAGTTGGCGTTTGCTCAAATGACGTATATGAAATGACCTGCCCTATAACAATGCATCAACACATACTATTAAACTTATATGCTCAGAGGTGTGTTCGTCTTTGTAATTAACGAGTTACAGACAATTATTTTTTACGAGTGTAAGATTTATTTTCTGTAGCTGGGCCCGTTTTGTGCTCATCAATGTCCGTGTGCTATGATGTTATCATTATCTGTGTTTGGTTTTTAATATACTCTTTGCAATGCCTACAAAAGCCAAAATGACGTCAGCCGACCCCAGCTCACGCATTTGACACGAAAACTGCGCCACTCGGACGTATGCGCTCGTCAACAATCAATTCATCAATGAATATTTGAATTCGCGTTCGTGGCCAATGAGTGCACGTGAGTGCGCTTGCGAATGACAAGTTCTATGATGTGCTTAAAAAGCACGGTGGAAGCTTGGGGTCATCGCACCGGTGGCCTAGCATGTCACGACCGCGTGATTCCACTTGTTCTCTTTTGGGTTGAGGATTAAAGCTAAGAAAGAGGAGGTTAAAAAATCGGTCAGAACTTCAGCTTGGGCGAGTCGGTAATTCATGATAATGCTTCACAGCGCACAAGATCAGACACACTTAAAAAGGAAAATCACGCATACACAGGAAGAACACTCACGCAGCGCTGACTGACAACTCAAATGTATTATGCCTCATCTTCATCTTCACTCACTCCGATGCAAATGGCAGTGAAACAAAAAACAAGGATCATATGAAAAAGAGAAATGGCAAGAACAGAAAAAGGATTAAAAACAAAATATAGAAGGAAGAAAAATATAGAAGGAAAAAAATAATGAATTCCCTGTACAGCGGACGTTGCTACTGTGCTTTTTCTATATAGTTCAACTCTTTCTCCGTTAAGGCTAGCGAAGGAGTGCTAACACATATCCTATCTAGCCTTACAATGTTAGCGGTTTCTACTATTTCCCGCGTCGTTTTGTCCCTGCTCTGTCCCAGTATGGTGCATTTGTCTAGGAGGGGAGAACATCCACACGCTCTGCAGTGGAGGCCTAAATGACCCGAGTTGGCATTTTTGGCATTGTTGTGGTGCTCACGAAGTCGGTCATTTAGACAGCGACCCGTCTGTCCGATGTAACACTTGCCACATGTGAGGGGGAAGGAATAGATGACTCCCTCATTGCAGGACACGAACTTGTTCAGGTGGTTTTTGATACATCCAACTGGTCGACTAGATGTCCCATTGACCTTCTTGCACAAGCTAGAAAGTCTATTTGGCGCGGAGAAGACAACGTCTACGTTGACTCTATTGGCCATTTTCTTGAGCTTGTGGGATAAGTTGTGGATGTATGGAACTATGACAGGCCTTGTGGTGCGGTCTCTGGTTCTGCGTGTTATAGCTCCTTCCTGCTTAACCTCCCTGACTCTTTTTTGAAAGCAATCACACCTGCTGGTCGTACGAACCTCGAGCAAAGAAGCCTCTCCTCAACCATAGCTCCGCCCACTCTAAGCTTGTAAAAAGAGGCATTGTAAAACTATGCCTAAAAAACTCTCTGGAAAAATCTTGCAAACACACAGTCCCTACGAGTTTCAACATGCAAATTTCTCGGTTGGTGTTAGCGGGCTACCCCCCGTCTTTATTAACTTCCGTTGCCGAAGTCCTACTCAGGGAGGTTAAGCAGGAAGGAGCTATAACACGCAGAACCAGAGACCGCACCACAAGGCCTGTCATAGTTCCATACATCCACAACTTATCCCACAAGCTCAAGAAAATGGCCAATAGAGTCAACGTAGACGTTGTCTTCTCCGCGCCAAATAGACTTTCTAGCTTGTGCAAGAAGGTCAATGGGACATCTAGTCGACCAGTTGGATGTATCAAAAACCACCTGAACAAGTTCGTGTCCTGCAATGAGGGAGTCATCTATTCCTTCCCCCTCACATGTGGCAAGTGTTACATCGGACAGACGGGTCGCTGTCTAAATGACCGACTTCGTGAGCACCACAACAATGCCAAAAATGCCAACTCGGGTCATTTAGGCCTCCACTGCAGAGCGTGTGGATGTTCTCCCCTCCTAGACAAATGCACCATACTGGGACAGAGCAGGGACAAAACGACGCGGGAAATAGTAGAAACCGCTAACATTGTAAGGCTAGATAGGATATGTGTTAGCACTCCTTCGCTAGCCTTAACGGAGAAAGAGTTGAACTATATAGAAAAAGCACAGTAGCAACGTCCGCTGTACAGGGAATTCATTATTTTTTTCCTTCTATATTTTTCTTCCTTCTATATTTTGTTTTTAATCCTTTTTCTGTTCTTGCCTTTTCTCTTTTTCATATGATCCTTGTTTTTTGTTTCACTGCCATTTGCATCGGAGTGAGTGAAGATGAAGATGAGGCATAATACATTTGAGTTGTCAGTCAGCGCTGCGTGAGTGTTCTTCCTGTGTATGCGTGATTTTCCTTTTTAAGTGTGTCTGATCTTGTGCGCTGTGAAGCATTATCGTTAAAAAATCATTTCATGGCCCCTTTAACACGGGTATGCGTGCTACAACAGATAAAAATATTGACATTTTGCATGCCGGTAAACTTCCGGACCACCACTTGGCCTGTCGGCAAGAGCACCTCATATCCGGCGTGCGTCTCTTTTGATGGCGTTAACAATCCTCTGTAGACCACCGTGCTGTCCTTCTTGGTTTAACCTTGTCGACTGTTCTTCGCCTAAAACGAGGGTGATAGCGTCGTCGACGTCGCTCCTCGCCAGTCGGTGAGATAATCTCATCTTGAATGAATGATTGGGTCTTGAAGAAGTATGGTGCTAAACATACATTCTCTTACTATGGGGCAGTCGAGCAGCAGTCATGTCCCAAGGCAATTGTCCTGTCGTGGCCGACGTAATCGGATTTTGTTCCATAGGAGCGAAGTCCGTAAGTACAAGGACGGTGCGTTCGTCCCACGAAGCGGCCGCCATCCCGGCGGCGCGGAAAACTACTCGCCTTTTCCGTGCACGCTGCAAATCGTCTCATTTCCCAGAAGAAACAGACACCGCTTCTCCAGAGGCCCGTGCAGTACCGTCATACAATGCGTCTTTTAGGTCTTTTACCACTTTTCAATTAACGAATGGAGATATCAACTAGATAAAGGTTGCCGCCCGGCGTCGCTAGCAGTACGGTTACCATAGAAACCTCCCAGGCCTAAAATGGAGATATCTAGATAATTTTGCGTCGTGTCGCTACTCTGGCAGCTACGCTGCCATATAGAGTGGCTCTACCGCTCGCCAGCTTCTCAAGCGAGTCAGGAATTCACAGTGTCTCGTGGTCCAAAGACGAAGCCGCGAAAATAGGTTCAAAAACACGCGATCAAAAAAATTCAGAACGTTTTTGTTTATTTATTTATTTATTTATTTTTCGCGGCGTTTTACGTATTGAACGATGAAAGACGACACGGAAGTTCCCGATCGGAGCTCGCACTCTGTGAATGGTTCGGCCACGTTCAGGTCCAACTCCCCGATACGTTCTTCCGAAGAGCATGCAACGACCATGGTACAGGAAGTGATCTAGCTTGGCAGAAAGATGATGACTCATTCTACGACGCCGAGAGCGACATCGAGGCCGTCTTTGCCTTCGGCCAGGAGGTCAAGCACAGCCCAGTTTGGCAAGGCAGGGCCGGAGCCCGTGCCTGGTTTGCTCTACTACGAATTCCTGCCACTGGTTCGCCGTTCCAAGGCCACGGGACGTCTCGAATTTCAGGAGTTTGAGTAAGCGAGGGCGCATTTCTCCTTAGATATGCACGGTCACTTTATGCCGGTGCGCATTGATACATATATATATATATATTTTGCTCTTCCGTCTACATTTTGTTGTGTGCTGTTGGTGCAGAGGATTTCTTTAATATCACAGGGTCCTTTAAACCCTCAAAAGTTCAGATGTCACCGCGTTGACATATTCCAAAAGAAAATTGCGGCGTGCTGGCGCCTCTTTTGGTAGCTGAACTGGAAATACCACAAAATGTCGTGTGCAAAGCCGATGCCATTGAGGCTCGGGTTGACCAGCCCATAACTTTAGATTGACTTCCAAGTAATAAACCTTTTGCCGAACTATCCAAGCATCAAAAAGAATGCCGGCAACGCATAGTACACGCGCTACGCATTCGAGAGCACAAGTCTAAAACAAATGGCACTTCGCACACGCGTTCCACGGACACTTTATTTCGGTTATTTACTTTGAATATTTTCTATAAGGAGTATTCACTGGGCGCCATATTTGTGGGTGCTCTTCAGAGCGCATGCTCAGAACGAGCCCACATTAATAAGCTGCTAAAACCGGCAATCTTGAGGGTGCGGAATGCACGTTACAAAAGAACTGTGTAAACTTGCCATCAGCACGTGCTCAGCAGTCGCGCACACAGCTATGGCCGCCAGTGCATACTTCCTGTAGGGGATGCGAGCATGTGCAGCGCGTGTGCATACATTCCCAACGTTTTCTTTTATGCTTGGGTAATTTAGCGAAAGGTCTATTGTATCGAGAGTATTCACTCGACGCCATATTTGAGTGCGTTGTTCACCGCGCATGCTCAAAACAAGCTCACAATTATAGGCTGGTGAGACCAGCACCCTTGATGGTGTGGAATGCCCGTTGCCAAAGAACTGTGGAAGCTCCCCGTCAGAACGTGCTCAGCAGCCGGTAACTCAGCTATGGCCAGCAGTAACTACTCACTATAAGGAGTATTCACTGGACGCCATATTTGCAGGTGCTGTTTAGAGCGCATGCTCAGAACGAGCTCACATCAATAGCCTGCTAAGACCGCCAATCTTGATGGTGCGGAATGCACGTTACAAAATAACTGTGGAAGCTCGCCATCAGCACGCGCTCAGCATTCGCGCACACAGCTATGGCGGCCAGTAAATACTCCCTATAGACTTTTTTTTTTTTTTTAATCGGGTCGGGGGTGCATCTGTTGCGCGCTGGTATGATGCTAAACAGAAATTTCTGTAGAAGAGCATGCTTCATTGTGAATGACTCTTCTGCCAAAGCGGAGTGTTTTCAGAGCTTCGGAAAGAAGTAGCGGAGTTTGTAGGCATAAATATCAAATTATGTCCCATTACCCCTTAGACGTCACCAGAGTCAGGGTGTCTTGCATGAATACTATTACCTCATCACAATAGGCAGGCTGGCTTGCATCAATAAAAAAATCGCTCCTTTAAAGCTTAGACAACAACATGGACCGACCGACTGCGTTGCATAGATACCATACTACATCATCGCAGCAAAGACGTCACTATAGGCAGGCTGGCTTCTATAGGAAGTATTCACTGACGGCCATAGCTATGTGCGCGACTGCTATGCGCGTGCTGATGGCTAGCTTCCAGGGTTATTTTGCAACGTGCATTCCACACCGTCAAAATGGCCGGTCTTAGCAGCCTATTAATGGGGGCTCGTTCTGAGCATGCGCTCTAGACAGCACCCACAAATATGGTGCCCAGTGAATACTCCTTATAAGTACGATCATCCCGTTACAGCTTAGAGCTAAACATCACCGTAAATCCGGGGTCACACTGCTTATAGATCAACACAAAAGATAGTCTGCATGGATACAGATTCGAACGCGAGTTACCACGAGACCCGTGCTTCTAATGCTGTGTGCCAATGAGTTCAAGGAAAAAACTTGGCAATAAATTCAACGGCGAGGATCGACAAGTGCTGCAACAGACATTAATGGCGTTGGACTCGCGGCCTTTCAGCTCATCAGAAGTGCTTGGTACCTGGGACACAACTGAGCAATTCACGAAGGCCTTGGTACAGTGTTCCTCACGAACACGAAGTTATCAGACACTTTGTAGGGTGCTTAAAATTGCCTGTGAGATTTTGAACATTTTTACCATTGCTCACCCTCATTGACAACTTCAACTCATCTTTTTTCCTCATCGTCATACCTTTTCTTCCTCCCCCTCTTCTCCCCAGTACAGAGTAGCCAACCAGAACCTACGTTCAGGTTAACCTCCCTGTCCTTCCTTAATAAACCCTTCTCTCTCTCTCTCTGGGCACGCGGCATTCGAATCCCGTATACTGCGGTGACTTGTGCTTGCAGACTGTCTTTTGTATGATGGATTAGCAGTGTGACCCCGGCTTAAAGACCGACGTACAACCTCGGTCTTCTGCAGGGAAGATAATCCTCTTAGCGCCCCCCTCTCCTAAGCTGCGAGGGGGAGCCAGGTTGGGGCAACGTAAAACGTGGAGAGGATATACGAAAGGAGGTGACGGGCAAAAGTGGAAAGCGCGAAGTGTACGTCGGCCTTTAAGACGCGTGGTTACATGGTTGACCTTTTTAGAGCGCAGCTCTTAGGGCCCGTTTCCGGCTTGAGCGGCGTCGGCGTCGCCGTCGGCGTAACCGCGAGGTCACGTGACACCCCTAGGTCACGTGACACCCCTAAGGTCATGTGACCCCTTCAGGTCACGTGACCCAAAAAGGCCACGTGAGCCCCTAGGGTCACGTGACCCCATGAGGTCACGTGACCTCAAGGAGTCACCTATCCCTCAGTACGCTTCCATCTTCCTCCTCAAGAGCTGCGCTCTAACCGGCGTTACAGGGAATTGTAAACGGCTTTCATTTTTTCTTTTGACAAATGAAATTAATTGTACAGGGATGTGCTGGAGCGAGCGAGTGACTGGTACAGCCAGGTACGCGGATACCGCGCGGTCACCTTGGAGACAGTGCAGTTCAAGTTCAAAGACCGAGAACCGTCAGAGAAAAGCATCCCCACCTTCGACAAGGACGGACGCAATCCCGCAGCTGCTAAGCGCCACTACTACGGCGACGGGCTCAGGTCAGTCTGCGTTCCCAGGGTGTGACCAAATTTCCTCGATCTCAAGCGCGCTTTCTCAGAGTAGAACGGTAAAGTCACAGAAAAGAAAATTACGGCGTTACTGACACGTTCCTCCAAGATCAGCCGGCAGACGTTTGGACAAGTTACCAGCAGTTCAGGTGGACACCAACATCAGATCGTTGATAATTTCCGCCTCGTTGTGACCGTGATTTGGCAAATGGCGAAGGCTATACAGTCCCAGTCAGCCAATCAGCGTGTCGATCGGAGAGAGGCACGTGACTCTCTCTCTCTCACTAGTTCCGCGTGCTGTCAAGGTCACAGGTGGGAAAGAGGAAAGCCGCTCTTGTACATGACAAGCTAATCTTCTAGGGGGAGAAAAGGCGACCTCCTGGCACCTCTGGGGACACCCAGAGGAGGGTAAGAGGGAGGTTCCTCCTTCCATTCTTCTCCAACTGCTTGGTTACACCCCTACACAACGATCCATGCACCTTTGGCGCTGTCACGTGCTTCGTCTCCGTCACTCTGATTGGCTCGAAGGGGCCATGATGTTCGCTCTTGGGCCAAGTTACGGTGAAACGAAGTACCGAAGTGCTGCCCGCTCAATGATATCTTCAATATAAGTAGGATTTCGTGTTTTCGAAGTATTTTTTTTTTAAATTTGGAGAATTTTTATCGGAGTTTATTATTTTTTTCCCTCGAAATTGGGGGCTTCGTCGGGGTTAATTTTTGTTAGATTCCTAATTACCTGAAATTCCAAACTTAAATTTCAAAGCTATAAAAAAAAAAAAAAAAGTCCGGGTATTTTGACAAGCTAAGAGACAACCCCTTTTGTAAGTATAGTTCGATATTTCAGAGGAAACTGAAGTGGCATCTCCTCAGGTCCACTGACCTTGTGAAAATTTATTTACCACCATCTTTTTTTTTTTCTTGTCGTTGCGACTTTGACATTTCCAGTGTTTTGGATAAATCCGAATTGAAAGAAAATTTGCCAGCGAGTATTTTTTTCGGATTTATCCGAAAACACGATACCCTAAAAAAAATAGAAACCATTCCAATAATTGCTGTCGTGCCTTGCCATGTTTATCTAATAGGTTGTTATCCGTTTGCTCGGAATGCGTTCCGCATTCCGAGCAAACGGATTCTGATCTTCAGCGGAAGACCAGAATCCACGTATGTGTCCATGGCCCAGTGACTCAGCATCTTTTAAACACGTCATACGTGTTTATATATATATATATGTACGTACGTCATATTTTTTATATATATATATATATATATATATAAATCACAGTTGATGTTAGGGTGCCTTCATGTGCGCTTTGCTTAGGGTGGTGGCATCTCGCCATTTTGTCCCACACGTTTATTTTTATTTTTTGTTCAGAAGCGCGTGAAAGAGCGTGGCCCTGCACGCGTTTGTGGCGTTGACTGTATTATGGCGACATTTTGTTTTCGTTGATATCTTTGTATTTTCCCCGTGAGCGCGCGCTGTCGGCATCGGGTACTACAAAGGGTGGCATCACCCTAAACAGAAGGACATTGAGGCACCCTAGTTGATGTTATTCGCTGACATCCACAGCCGAGTGCCCGTTGTTGCTGAACGCCTCAATACAGAACTTCTGCGACGCGTACCCCACATACCATCAAGATCATCGTTCTTCGTAGACGATAGTAGAAGCTCGTTCTGGGTTTACGCCGTGAACAACTTGCTGAAATGAGGCATCCCAGCAAATACCATCTACATTTTTTTTTTAAATTCCGCATTCAGTTAGCGCGGTTGTCCTTCAGGATTTGGCTGTTCCCGTCAGAACTGCACGCCGAGGGCGGAGCGGAGCTCGGCTACCGTGATCTACTGCCTCGACGCACCCAGGACAAGACGCAGTCATCCTACGAGACTGTACCAGAAATCTTGGACCGATTCAACTACAGCCAAGCCAGCGGTCAGGACCCTGTGCCGGGAAAGATCATCAGCGTCGAGTCCAGGGACGTGGAAGGCTCGAACCAGAGTAACGCCTCTTGTGCTGCGAGAGCCCTCGAAGGAGACTTGCTGACGTGCCACAACATCTTCAGCTTCAGAGTCTTCTTCTACCGGGGCAAGCCAACCAGAGAGAGGATTCGTACGTCAGCTTCGTTACTCTCTATGCATCCGCGCATAATGAAAAGGTGTATTTTAGCATCATTGTGTACGGCCATAACAGCTAATGTATTATTAAACCCGTGACCGGGAAAATGGAGTCCGTAGCTAAAACGACGCCGACTTGGTTTCCAAATGGTGTTTTGTTTTCCGAGCAGACGACTGAAAATAGATTGTTTCTGCGACATCTTCTCAAAGTCAAACCGGCTATGAAAAACGCAATCCCATTAACTAACGATGAATAGGCATTTAGTTCAGAAGGATGACTCTCAAAGTTGTATTTGTCCCGTGCTGTCACAGCTGAACCGCAAACATAGAAATATGAAAAATACTAGTGCGGTGGAACATCGACTCGCTAACTTAGGCGGTAAAATTAGATGTTCAAAAACTGCATTTGGAAAGAGTATAGAAAAGCGCGGATATAGACCCTACGCAAAAAAGAAGAGTCATCTATAGTGTACCTATCATCAATGATCAAGTTTCCACCATGTTGTAGGATTCCCCTACCCATGTGCTTCGCTAGAGACACTGACCGCGGCAAAGTGGGATTGGTGGATCAGAAAGATCCACCACTCCAACTCTTTCGGCGAACATTCATTTTGAGACATGCCTGTCCTAACCAGGTAGACATATTGTTTTCTTCTAGGCTCAATGTTTTTTTTTTATCCAGACGCAGCCGACGCTACGAGATGATGGGACCAATCATACAGCATCAGAAGGGCACCATCATGATGTTTGTCATGCTTCTGTACGTGTTCTATCATTGCAGAACCAATCATAAACACAAAAAGGCCTAGCGACTTGCACTTTTGAAGCTGGTCGATTAGTCTCATTAGCTCAAGGCATCGAACCCTTCATACAGCGTCTTTGGTAAAGACCGCGCTCACTTACCCAGATGACCATGGGCGTACCAACCGGGGGACAAGGGGGGCGCTTGCCCCTCCAGTTCTTAGAGTAGGGGGTCAAGGCATCTGTTTTGCCCCCCCCCCCCCCCCCCCCCCCTCCCTGAAACAGCGCAGGGCAAACACTGGCCGGCGGCGTCCATGGACGCCACCGGCCAGTGTGGACGCTGGCGGCGTCCATGGACGCCACCGCCGCCCCCCCCCCCCCCCCCCCCCCCCCAACACTCAAAACCAAGTTGGTATGCCACTTCAGATGACTCATTTCATTGCTTCGTTGACAATTCTTGCGATTTATGTGCCGACAATCGGTTTTCCACGACCTCGCGGCCGTGTTTCTTTTCTTCGTTGCACCGAAACTATTGAATGTACAAATACAGTGCCCTAATATCATGAAAACCGAGTTATGCAGACACCCCTCGTTTACAGATGGAAGATGGCGAAACCCCTCCAATATGGCGGCTCCGAGTGGAACGATAGCCGAGAGGAATTTTACTGTCGTTCGCGATGTGTCGAGCAGTGTAGTACATTCCTTCGTATTTTGGTACAGCTGACAGAATGTCTGACCAACATGTACAGTTTTACTTGTGGGAAGGAGTGAACCCGGTTCATTTTTCGCACACGCCCAGAGATACACGACGTGGTGCCCAAACCACTCGACTGCTACACATTCGAGGAGTTTACCGGGGTGTTGAAGCGGGCCTCGCAGTGGCTCCAGGACCAGGGCCCGCTGAGGCTGTACAATGTGCAGACGCTCTTCGTCAAGGCTAAACTACGTAAGTTCACGCAAGCTAAACCACCACGCACACAAAGACACTCACGAGTTCTGAACACACAACAGATCTGGTATGCCTCCTAAAACGAATAAAAAAAGAGGCCATGCTTTTTTTTTTGCGGACTTGTTTTGAATTTGAGGTGTTCTTGTGCGAGCGGTGGTTCGTTGGCGACCCCAATGTCGTTGTATACGTGAAGACGCTACTGAATAAATACGCGAGTTGAGTTTGATGAGTTGCATATCTGTCATTCTGTTCCCTTTACTTTGGATTTTTCTAGTTCTCCACCCGGTCTCAGGTGGTTTAATAAAATTGTAAATTTACACCAGCTCGCTTACGCCGTCCATCACTGCTGTATCGCTAATATATTAAAACTTTCTAATAGCGGCAGCAACACACAAACCGTCCGATCTTTCTCGCGCTACCACGCGGACAGACATACCGCCTGGTTCGATGCTGTCCCGGAAGGTGTCTTCCCTGGTGCGCTATCTCAAGGTCCTGCGAGTGGTGTACACGACGTTTCCGGAGGCCTCTCTCGAGTTCACGTCACTGCAATTCCCCCGCTGTCTGTCCCATCGAGTCTTCATACCGTCGCTTACCGTGTCCGGAGAGGACGTCAAAGTGGCACAAGCCATCAGGGCCCTCAAGAACAAGATGAGCCTCTGGAGCAGCATGCTCCGTGAGTCTCACATCCTTTTATCGGTTTATTGTTGGGCTTGGGAAGGGAAGGGGGGGGGGGGGGGGTATTCTTCAGCTGAGTTCGAGCAACACCCCCTAGATGTGTGTTACATGTTCGAGATAACAAGTAATAAAATTTTGAAGGCGAGTTTATTGGAGTAGTTTGAAGGGGTACCATAACGGAATCGTTGCACTTGTTTCTTTGTTTAGATGTGGTCTATGTTGTGCCGGCAGCCCAGAAACACTAGATTAGACTAGCGTTTTCGGGCTGCAGGCAGAGAAGTAAAGCAAACTAATTTTAAAACAAATGAAGAGATTTCAAAATTGCGCCTGGTGGCGGTCTGTGAAGCTCTGTTGGAATGCCGCCACGTCATGAGCTCCTAAGCAGCGTCAGGATCGCTGCAGTACGACTCACTCGTGGAGTTGCTTAGTCCTGAATGTGAGTAGGCAGAGAACGTTAACATAAGTTGAGACTGCAGTCAAAGCTACAAGCGCGAGCTAGCCCGCGCTCCTGACTTAGAGACATGCATTTCTAGCGCGAGCGCTCGTTTTGCGGAAGAACACTTCAAAGCAGCGACCTCGAGCTCTCGTGGTTGTGACGTTGGGGAAGCTTTTACAGTGCTTCCGCAACGTGCATTTCACATTATCAAGTTTGCCGTTCTTTGAAGGCGTTAGGCAGAAGTTTGATCTGTGGACGCGGGGACCTCGTCCAGGCCAACCATACCACCTTCTGCACCCCCCTTCCCTTCCCCGGATGCGCTGTGAATAGCGCGCTCAAATATGACAGCCAGAGAAATGAGAATACCTAATATACATAGCTTGCAGGTGTTGCCGATTCTGGATACTGAAAGCCCCTATGCACAGTTGCCTTTGAGAGCGTTTGACTGCGTTGCGGCTGCAAAAAATCAGGACATCCGTGCTTCTTACGATTCCACGCTGCATACGAAGCCCAGATGTGCCGAGGACTCGCGTTCGTTTTTCGACGCAACGGAGTCAAACGCAACTGTGCGTAAAGGCCCTGACGGTTATTTCTCCTTACTGCATGGTTCCCTCGAGCTATTGCTTCTGCGGCGGGAAACTGACACGGCGAACCTAACACCCCCGTCGTGTGAAGCAGACGACGAAGTTATGTGCACCGTTTGTCCTGCGATTGTTTCGCACTTATATCCCTTCCGCTCGATGTTCTGCGCTTGAAGATCGATTGGTCAGTCCTTAGTCTGTAGCGTGCCGCCATCCGCGGAACGTCGTCATATTGAGAATGACGTGTATGTACCTGCATAGCCTCCTCTATACTCACAAAGCCTGGCAGTTCGATGACGGAGCCATGAGTGCGCGGTCGAAGATTTGGAGCGAGAGAATCTGGTAGCACAGAACATTTCTCGAAGAGTCCGGTATTGAGCGCGCAGCTTTTGCAGCGGCGAGGACCCGAAACATGGTTTCCAAACCCGACGAGAATAGAAGCGGTAGCCCGAGGAACGCGAGAAGCACGAGCGGATATTCCATCACCTGGGACAAGTGTTTCGCCGTCTCGCCGCAGCGGGGCGCCCGCTACATGCCTCTTGTCTGCCGCTCTAACTTTTCACTTTTGGCGACCGCATCACGCGATGATCTGCCAGGCTTTGTCAACACAGAGGTGGCTACGGTACATGTCATGTCCTACCTGTGATTTGTGCGATATCTTTTTTTTATCAACATATTTGCAGTTTTTTGGAGGCCACGAAATTTAGGTTCATATTCTTTTCTATTTTTGACACTCAATGTCTGCCTTAGATGGCACACTTTGAATATTTGGTACACAAGAGTTTAAACGCCACGTGGCCGTGGAAAAGAGAGTGAGCACGACTGAAATTGAACAATTCTCGACCGCCGGTTTTTGGGCGGAAAGAAAACTAATTTCGAGCCGCAAATTATGTTCTGGGTAGTTGGGCTTTTATAGGTCACGTTTAAATAAAAACCTCGATGAGCATAAATAACCTTTGTATGTCCCTTTGTAAAGACAAGTATTAGTTTTTAAGCGTATATGTGGCTTGCACACGTCGTCACTTCGCGATTGTGGTCTTTTCTGCTTCTTAGGCACATCCTTTCCGGTGTAAGACTACCGGAGCAGAGGGAACGCTCAAACAAAGATGCGTGAATTGTCAATTTACGTCAGTGCAACGTATCTATACATTAACTCGCGCTTCTGATGCCACATCGAGACGAAGACGCTGCCGGTGGAACGACGCGAGCACGGATGACTCGTTCTTCGAAAAAAGCTGCTTCATTTGCGTGCACAAAGTCCACAAAATCCCGCTGGGAAACGTGCTTCTTTATAGGCCAGAAGCTGGCTCTTGTGGCTCGAAAAAGAGAACTTTCGGCAACCAGTTTCGCTTGCGTTCCAGGAGGCAACATCCTGTGCGCCGAGTCCCTGACCGTGGACTTCTTGCCGTTCGAAAAAGGGGCCGACGACAGCATCAACGCCTCGGTGCCGAACAGGCGGGACTCCCTGGGCCAGGCGACGGCCCGGGTGGTCCTCTATTTTCGCGTTTACACAGACTGCCCGGACATTCGCGCCAGGGCCAGCTCCCCGGTGTCCATGGTCGCACAGTCTCAGTTCTACAGCAGCAGGGATGAAAGCCGCAGGTGCAGGATCATGTGAACATTTGTCCCTTCCCTCGAGTTAACGTGACGCCTGTCTAAAGGAATAAAGAATCAAAGTACTACAAGTTCTCGTTGTAATTCTTTCAGGATCGAGTGAGAATCATTGACCTTCTGCGAAGCGTGCAGCGCCCACTCTAGCGCCGAAAGCAATCCTGGGCACTGTGGTTTAGCAGACGACGGGGGCACACGGGCGATAGAGGGAAAAAATTGCCTGTGAGGAACGTCTTGTCACCCCTAACCTTCAGTCGTCCTAAGGGCTCTTTTCACGAGCGCCTCCACGTCAATGCAAAGCGTCAAACGTTCTTGCAAGAATACAAATTTCGTGTTATCCGGGCTTAAAAGTTTCCGTTTAATTATAGACTCTGCATCCATGAACTGTTCCATCGCAGCTGTAACCACCACGAATACGCTGAATGGAGAGGAGAAGGCAAAGGCTGCACATTTAAAAATGGGCTCCGAGCTGTTCAGCTTCCGCTGCCATTTCTTCGTCAGAACGCTTTGGCCTTAAGTTCTTCTTGTCTTCCTGAAGCTGTGGGGCAAACAGAAATTGGTGTTACCATGGGATGCATGAAGCCCGCTGACAAAAGTGTTTTACAAGTATTGGCAACCATTGTTGTGGAAACACGGAAAACACGTGTCACGACGAGCAAGTGGGGTGTAGCACGATTGCCCCGCGTGCAGAATCCCCGTCGCAAAAGCCCTGCGTCATTATCCTTATGTTTCAAAAGCCCCGCGTTCAATTACCCCGTCCCGTATTCCCCTAGTGCCTAAGCCCCGTCCTCACTGCCCCCGTCCCACCCTCTTTGCGCTTCAACCAACATTGTTCTATGTATTTCCCTAATCCGTTGAGGGTCTACAAAGGCTCTTTTAAGTGAAAGAAACAACAGAATAAAGTTAACATGAACTGCAGAAAAACTTAGAATGGCGTACTACAAGTGGCCAACTGCATAAATATGCATAACCAGCGATGCACCCTGCTGTCGTAGAGGTATATGCTGTCATAGAGGTATATACATATACCTCTATGATAGCAGGTAGATAAAGTCTATAATTCTACATCTGAGTTTACTCAGACGTAGAATTATAGACTTCATCTACCTAGATGGATACAAATATTTTTAGGACGATGTAAGAATGGAAGTGCTGTACATGTAATAAGTACGGCTCCATGAGCTGCGGGTTAAAAGTACTGAAAGAACCGTCGGAACTGTGAATCTGCATGTGCTTCAGAGTCAACAGATGCAGTGGTTCAATGCTTATTACTAAAACCTGTAACTTTAAAGGTTTTGCCACTGACTAATATTTTCTGTTTGTTCTCACTTGTAACGTCAGAAGACGTGAATGTGTATAGCGTATGCCTGAAGAACGGGAAGCTTTATCCAGTTATTCCTTGCTTGAGTCCAGGGTACGGCATGATTGTTACACAAGCTCGCGTGCACACTTACTGCCTCTTAGTTAAAAGCAGAATGCTCCGCCCTCGCGCTGAGGACCCGGCCACCTGAAAAGGGGGGTTCACGTCATGGGCTTCTGAAACTGGGGCTTTTGAAAGCGGGGCAAAAAGGCCAGGGCATATGATATGGGGCTTTTGACACTGGGCGCTTTCGTGCACCACCCAGCAAGTGCTGTGCCGCCATTTGCTTCCAAGGGCTGCACACGGTGCTACTTGCAAACAAACGTATCAAAATGCTTTAGAAATGCATGATCCACAGCTCCCTCTTCAGAAATAATCTGAATATTAGGTCTACAAGTGCATCAAATGCAAATAAACAAAACTTATTATAAAAAAAAAATGCTCACTTAAACATTTTGAGAGACCCCACCTAAAATCAGAAGCAAATCGGGTGAAAATTAGAAGTGGGCTAACTTTCGGTGTGCAATCAGGAAAAGTTGAAAAATGCTATTTTTAGGTTATGTGTCCCTGCCAAACTTGTTACCGTGGCACGGGGCAATGAAGCAACAAATGACTGTACTTCCCAGTCAGCAATGTGCCACCATAGCTGACTAGCCGTATTTACGCCGGGGCCATCACATTGATCTGAACACTACGATTACAGGAAGTGGGCTATTAAGAAAAAACGACAAACCAAGCCAAAAATAGGGGGCAGGCTATCTCGGGGCATCCATCAAAGGTATTACGGCAGTCTTTCTGATCAAATTTTCGTTTTAGTTCTGACTCGTAACATGCTGCAACAAGCGCTCGCTTGGTGGGCACAATGCAGGCGCAGAAACCAGCACTTGCGATTCGCGAAGCGTCTGCACGTGCGCCCGTGCCGTCAGCTGTACCACCGCTGCAGAGTTCCACCGTAAGAAACGCATTAGTCAATCGTCCGCTCGCATAAATTACATTTGTGCGAGCAGACAACAGTCTGTGCCCAAGCAACTTATGGGGAATTCTCTTTGCGGATTTAAAACGATTGGGGAGCGCTTTTCTTTCTTTGTCTTTTGCTAATTTTTTTTGCTTGTGCAAGCACGCACTAGCATCTACTGCTCTAAAGGCGTGAGCCGAGCACTTTTGCATCGCTCCAAATCTACTGAGGGAATTCCTCATACACGAGCCTGGAACGTGTCTCCGACTCCATAGCACTCCATAGTGCTATGAAGCGCTCCATAGCGGGTGAACCCCTCATCAAATAAAAACATGTCTCTCTCTGTCTCCGACCGGTGTGTCTATTGCGTCTAAAGAAACTGGTCCGTCGATTTCCGCCTGATGACGACGTCGAAGTGCCGTGCAGCGGCGTTGTACGTGGCAGACGCCTCTTCTGCTGCAGGTTGCTCTCCAGCCTGACTTTCCACAGAAGCTTCGACAGCCACGAGTTGGGACGTTCCGCACTCTGGTCTGCTCGTGCCTTTTGCCAGAACTTCTATGACCAAGCACTAGCATTGGGACATCTGACAGAATAACACACCGGCTTGTGTGATGTCATTCGCTACCACTTCAGGACAGCTTTCGATGCATAGGCGGAATAGGACGTCAGTACGAGCTTAGCTCAGGCAAAACTCTCAACTAAACCATGCTTCTTTTTTTTTACAATGCGGTCATTTTGCGTGACTCACCTTCACATACACTTCGTCGTTTCGAGCGAAGTCTCCGGGTCTCCGTGGCAGCACGTGCACATGAATGTGGTCGATGGAACGGCCCGCGTCTGGCCCGTCCTAGTTAAAACATGCGACAAAAACAGAATGAAAAACAATGGTTTTCAAAGTGAAGCTGTAATTATTAGAAGAGTGGAAAAAAATCAGACTTATTGGATTAAAATCACAGTAACCATAAAATATGACTTTGATCACTATTTTTATACGATTCCTTAATTAGTTAATTTTAACGATTAGTTAATTAATCCGTCCGATCACTGAAAACCATGAGGAAGAAATAATTGGTTTGAATTTGAAAAACAGCTTAATTAACAAATTTCTTTTTTTAATAGCACCGCCATAGTAGAAAAAAATACAGTTCGACATACTTTAGGGTCTGAAAAAGCTTCATTTGCCCTTTCTTTTGCGTACTGAACATCTTGCACGAGGACATTGCTTTTTTAGCATTAGTTTCTTTTTTTTTGCATTCTGATTTACTTGCAATAGGACGTTGCGTAACTGACGAACGAGGTGAACGGGTGAAAGAAAACCGCCGTGGTCAAGCTCAACCTGTTATAAATCTTTCTTGCTTGATTCCCTGATTTATATACAAAATAACATAGAGGGCATCACATGATAGACAAATGGCAACTAAAAATATTCTGGAATGATTTTTTAAGGAAGAGGTCCTATATAAATCATCACAGTAAAACCGATCTGATTTAAGTCAATATAAATCCCGATTCAGATCATCTTGATTTTTTATTATCCACCCTGGTTTGCAGACTGACGTAAACATATCCCAACAGGTGAACACAGAAATACTTCTATTAACTTGTAATCCTTTGGCTCCCGAAAGGATGATGTAGCCCACAGAAATACGAAATGCAAACAAAGAGTGGTCACTTTTGCTTGCCACTTCTCCACAGCGCATCAGTGCGTCTACCCTTCTCGGGTGCGTATGCATGTTGTTGATACGTTTGATTTGACACAGTGGAAGGCTCGCCACCCAAACTTGCACTGCAGCATCCAACTCAGCTATGGCCACCAGTAACTAACCAAACGTGACAAATAAGAAGTAAAAACGTGAGTAGGCACCAAAAAATATGCTTCTACAAATGCACTGGTGATTTGCGGGGAAGTGGCAAAGAGAAGGCTGTGCCACAAACAGTGCCTTCCTCGGTTGAGCTGCTTCGAGCCAAACCAAGTATGGCTATGCCCAACACGACCTGCTACATTGCCAAGGCTGGCGTGGCTTCTGCGGCAGCCTCGCACTGCTGCGAGAGCACGTGGCTTCGTCTTGCATGTCGCTCACATGCACTCGTGAAGCTAACTTTCGCAGCGCAGTAGAAAGTGGCCTAGCCTAGACAACACAGCACGAAATAGTTGACACCCAGTATACTGAATATATGTTTCAGTTTCGATAGTTCCCTTTGTCCTTTTTGAAACTGTCGTTGCAACTTTGAGGATCCGGCCCAGACTTACCTGGACAGCTATGGTAGAGGACGATGCACCAAACTGTTTCTCTGCCGCAACCTGCACTCTCTGGACGACTAGGAACAGGTCCTGCACCTCTTCCGCAGACAGGTCTGCGAGTCGCAGCGCCGGGCGGATAGGAGCGACTAGAACATCTGCGTGACTTTGCTGAGGAACTGATCTAACCAGAGGCTCATGTAAGAAATATGGGGGAAGGGGGGGGGGGGAAGCAGGCCTAGGTTTGCATAGCATTTCAGAGGCATTTCTCTCATAAGCGTCCACAGAGACTGCCACATGGAGCTTCTCCAGTGTCTTCTCTCGTCGTAAGAGATCACAAGAATACGTTCCTAAGAAAACACAAGGGTGTGAACGGGTCTTTAGAGTGTTGGGGGCTTCTATGCCAGTTGGAAACACACTAGGATAAGCCTTCCACCCACACCAATGGCATAACCCAAGATTTTTTTTTTTTTTTCGAATAGAGGGGTTAGAGCTTTATAGGCTCCCTGCCTCCCCCCCTCTTTCCCCTCTCCCCCAGGCTACACCACTGACCAACACGTTATCAGCCTTGTCGTAAAGGATACGACCAGGTAGGACGGGCATCTTGTTGACGAATGCAATTGTCAGGGGAGACTTGTAGAACACGTGAGCTGCCTGCACCGTTACCTGACCAAACTGGTACTGGGGCTGCTTAGGAGGTCCTGGAAAGATTGCAATCCCACTTTGTCAACGTCTACCAACCAACGACGCACGTGTTTTTACGAGCTCAATCTGCCACATTTCGTGCGGCGGGAAGCAAGTCACTCGTCACAAGTAAAACTCTATAACAACTGTTAACCAAGCAATCGGGACAACTTCGTGCTTTTTTTCCCTTGTTCAGTTGTTTTTAATGTGCTGTGGTTTCGGCATCACGGTAGTCAAAGACTGCTCATGCTGGTTTAGTGCAACAAAATACTCTAACCACAGGAATGTTGGGGTTGAACGGAGTGCATGTAACAGCTCCACATTTCAGTGAGTCTTGAAGATGTCGAGTGGCATTTTGGAGCAGGGGGTTTCGTAAAGTCGACTTGCCCGCCCGTAGTCGTTGCAGCATTAGCACTAAACCAGGAAATGGCCTCCTTCCAGATAGTGTCATCCTGTCACTGTTGTTTGCAAATATGTTTTTGAAACTTAGTAATGTGTGTGAATAATTAGAGTCCAGTGCGGATAACGGTTTGATCATTCGCATTCGATCCGCATCCGCGAACTTCGTATCTGCATCCCATCTGCAATGCTCTTGAATTAATCTATGGTATCTGCACACCTTGTATCCGCATCCGAACCGCATGCGCAAAATATGGAACCATATCCGACCCGCAATCTGCACATTCCTTTTTCCATTATTAAATCAAGAAATCAAGGGGGGAAGGGGGCTTCTACTTTTTTGCGCCTTGCATGTTTTAGGTTTTCTTTGCACGAAGAATGTTCTCCGCTCTTTCCCTGCCAAACAGGAACATGCATTGCCTGGACGATTGCTGCCCCTACATTCTTACTTTTTCTAGAAACCATATCTTCGGCGAGATAGAACGCTCTACAGCGAGCTTCGCTGATAATCAGGTCTTGCTGTAAAGAACGATCTTCTCCCTGATTGGCGCCTTTTCTTTTTTTTTTTTTAATAGAGTAATTTGCTCCTCAAAACATTGGACGACGCACTTCATACCATCACTCACTTATTCACTCTACAATCTATGGTCGAACACGGCTATGTGCCACCTCGGCCAAAGCTTAGATCCGGATCGGTGGATATCTGCATCCAATCCGCACCCGCAGCCCTTAGCATCCGCATCCGATCCGCAATACGCCAAGTCCAATTCAGTTTTATCCGCAACTGCCAGTTGACTGTGGAAATCCACGGATGATTCGCGGGTAATTCGCGGATATGCGGGGCTCCACAAACAATGCCAATGAGAGTTTTCTCCTTTAGCATGGTGTTCTACCCACGCTACTGCCACTACGGTGACTGGCACGTCTTTCCAACCGGTGTTTGTAGCGTCCCGTTCCGCCCACGCATCGAGAGTAGTCCCAAAGTGGCAACAGATGGCGTCGCAAAGCCAGAGTGTCATGTTGCCAGACGTCGTGATCCCGGTGGTTGGCCGTAGAAGTCCCGGCAGAAAGGACGAGCAAACTCGAGAGTCGCTGTCGTCACGGCAACCCAACTCGCGGCTGCCGGGGCTTCCGTAGACTGTCCGGCTGGAGGGCAACCTGTAGCAGAACGGTCGTCTGCCACAAACACAACCGCTGCAGCGACACTGCCAGGCCTGCGGCCCGCCACAACACGACGACTTCTACATCGGGGGGAAATCGAGGACCACCTTTTAGGACGCGGTAAACAAGCTGGTCGGAGATGCGTTTCAGGCACCGTACTGCTACCGTACTCGATGTTATAGCAGAAAGTTTGTGAAAACCTTGCTCCGAAGCACTCCAACACGGTGACAGGTTGCCGTAGAGGTCGGTCCTCCGGTGGTTCCAGACTGGAATGGCCTGTCGAACTTTCGCGACCAAGTCGAGGTTTATCTCTGCCACCGCAATCCCGACGGCATCCGAGCACTGTGCCACGACGCAGCCCCAGGGATCGACGACCTAGGCAGCCAAGAAAAAAGCAGACCAATTTTTTCGTCGCCCCAACAGATTAATTTTACCGCTCACTCGGTAAATCTTGAGGATTCGGTACGGGCCTTGGAAACCAAAAAAAAAATAAAAACTTAGTCAGAGGCTCGTGAGTACGGGTCACAAGCTTAAATTACACATTAGTATAAATATGTTAGAGCCCCTCTAATTAGTCAGGTTTTCACAACTAAACGACATGCACGTCACAGGGAAATTTCAATGAACTGTAGCTATGACTTCATACTTTGGGAGCATTGTATTTAATTAGCTAGAGTTACTTTTCAAAACTTTGCTCGGAAACACACAAATTCAGATTACTTTAAAAGTATCGGTACCACATTCGGACACCATTTAAAACTCTGCATTGAGCCAAGTTCAGAAGCAAAATGAAACAGTGGCAATCTCTTTTCCTTAATGAAAACCGAACCATTCGTTGGCAATCTCGGCACACCTTGCAACGTCATTAAATAAAGCAACCGACTTTTTAAAAAAAAGTCTGAGCAATCCAGATGTCGTCGCCCAAACCATGCGCGCTAACTTTGTGACTTGAAGCCGACATACACTGGCCAATTTGCTCTGCACTCTCGGAAACGTCGAGTTTTCCCCTTAGGGCATATCAGGTTCGTCCTTGGACAGGGTGGATAGACACACTTTTCAAAAGGGTCCCTCTATCCACCCTGCTGTAACTTACTCGTTACCTTTTGTGATCCGCCTACCACGTATATGCAACTATAACTTACTAATTACTTCCTAAAGGCCCGTTCACACACATACGTCTGTTTAGGACTGACCTTGTTTGGTGCTTTACGACGAGAGAACATGCCAGGCGCCATCTATGAGGTGGCCCTGGAACTGCATTTCACTAGAGCGAAGATATTGCGGTATTTGCGAGATCGAACGTACGCACTATCTACGAGAAACAGTAGTTCATATAACACTCAAATGTTTTTCAAGCCAAAAAAAAAAAAAAAATGATGCGAAAAAAAAAAAAAAAAAAGAAAGCAGGAAACATACGTTACCCGAAAGTGTTCTGCGACAGATGGCGCCAATCTGTCCTCTCGTCGTAAGAAATTTTAGGAAGTTCTAAGGCACACGGTCGTACGCAGTCGCAAGCGCGCGAACCCGCCTTTACCTCCCCAGCTCTACGCCACGAGATCGCGAGACTTTACGAATTAAAACACGGTCTGGGACTCACGAGTGCGTGTCCGTAAGAGGACCTCTTGGGGTTGTGTTGTCCAACTTGGGCTGCAGACACGACGTAGCACTGGCTCTCGATGGCGCGTGCCCGCATGATCACCTTGGGCGGCGGGACAGGGTGGAAACAAGCCGAACGATTAGCGCCGGGCGTCGGCTTTGTCTAGTCCGTCGCATACCGACCTCCCAGTGGGCCATACCCGTGGGCACGGTGAATGCGGAAGGGTAGGTTATGATGTCGGCGCCCATCTTGGCGAGGCTGAGAGAGAACTCGGGGAACCTGAGGTCATAGCAGTGAGGGTCGGTGGTCAAGGATCGTGAAAAAATCGGTTCCGAAGCCACGCTTTGCAGGTTTCGGCGATCTTACTTGAATAAAAGTTTCCAGTCGACGCGAGTAGGCAGGTTTAGTACCCTAGACCCTGCCTTTCCACACACTCCATGTTTCAACCAGGAATGTCGTAAACCATGGTTTGTCGAACTTTCAAACTTTCGTCAATGTTCAACAATGCTACTCAGCCTCAAAAAAAAAAAAAAAAAAAAATATTATGAAATTTGCAATTTTGGGGAAACAGGTATTTACGAAACAGTCTAATTTAGATGTTAGAGATCATGATTACCAACCTTAATGCAATATAAAAGAAAACATGCAAGCTTTTAATCAATTAGTTTGGTCATTCAAATGCTGCATCTCTCCTCCACAAGCCGCTCAAATTCGAACCTCAGCAGGTTCGCAAAGTAGAAAGATCAAGCTTTTTAGTTGAAATGTACGATCGAAGAGAGCTTGCTATTTGACACTTGAACACAAAACAAATGCCCCTACCAGTTGCACCTTCGTGCTAAATTACAGTGTCGAAGTTTGCTAAACTGTTTCTTTTTTTTAAGATTTAATGAAAGTGATTGATTGGACCCTCGCTGGGGTTACTTTCCGACATGAAAGGATATGATTCCGAGTCCCACTTTTCCGACTGGCGTTGCAACTGGCCGAGTGATCCGTGTGCCCGCTGCAGTGTAGTCGGACTCCCTAATCCGTGCGCCGGGCACATCCACGTCAAACATGTGCACCTTGCTGTATGTGTCCACAATGTTGCCCTCGGAGTTGATGACCACGTGCGTGTTGGACACCTTGTTGCCTTGGTCGGCGTCCTGCATGAAACCGTGGCAAATGGTCGTCCCGGCAGAAGACAATGAGCCGACAGTTGCCGATCGTAGGGTCATTAGACTCGAGTCCAGATGCAGACGACGCTACGAGCCGGTGGAACCAATCGTGCAGCGTGAAAGCATATTGGCATGGTGGCCGTCATGTTTTTCCATGTGCCCTATCATAGTTGAACCAATCGTGTATGAAGAAGGCCCAGGGACTTGCACTTTTGACACTATGATTGGTCCCATCAACTTGTAGCTCTGGCTGCGTTCGGACGCAAGGTGAAACGGAGTATACACAAACTCATCTCTGTTACGTCACGGCGCGGTGGTGGCGCGTCGGATGCACTTCCGCTCCGGGGCTGTGGGCAGAAGTGCCCATGTGAGACGTGTATTCCTGCGTTGTTTTGAAAGGAACCAGACAAAAACCTGCCTTCTTGTCAAAATGCTGCGACTGGGGCTGTACCAAAAGGGTCGAGAAAGGTTTGAAGGTCAGTTTTCATGCGCTCAGTTCGTCCAAGAACGTGGATATGTGCCGTGAAAAGAGAAAACCAGACGCCGTCGGACCACGATTGCTTGGGCGGGAAGCATTTTTGTTGAATTCACGGATACTTCTGGCCATCAGATTTATTTGTTTTGTTCCAAAATGAACGCCGGAAAACCGTTAAGTTGTACGGACCACCTGCGGACTACGTTCAGTGCGTCTTCAAGTTCAAACGGTCGCCTGATCGTTCGAACTGTCGTCTGCTCTTTCAAATGTTTCTGCTTGTCGTCTGCTCTTTTAGAGGACACCGGCCCGTAGACCAAACGTGGGCCCGGTACTTGTGATCAGAAGTAAGTGCAGGCCTCAAAAGGCTTAATTTTGAAGGTTGGTAAGCAGGCTCGACGAAAACAGTAAATACAAGGAGATGTTGATCATTGTTACCAGTGGCCATCACCGACTTGTTATGCCTGATTCACTTGGTTAGATTCTGCTTGCGATTTTCAGTATCGACGTCGACCATCTCAGCTATGGTTCACGCCTTTGCAGTCCGAGCGACGTCGCTACTGAAAATTGCGAGCGAAATCTCATCATGTGAATCAGGCTTTAGCGTACATTCTGCGGCGTCCACGCGGAATGAATCGCCGCATGTCAGATTATTTACGCGAAGTTTTGCGGTGTAACGAGCCTCGTTAATTTCGCTGACGCCGCTCAAGTAGTCAGCCATCGTTAGGAGGACGTAGAATCAACAATTCCAACGCGAAAAAGAGCACGGGGACACACACCGACGCCGACAACATCGCATTTCAATGGTTTGTTTATGGGCGACGGCCAGCTTCCTGCCCACACCCCCATCGCGCATGCGCGGCGTCGGTGGCGTCCGCTAGGGGCGCTCCGGGCGCTCCGGTTTGTTTATACACATGAGTTGGTGTATAAATAGGCTGTGCTCCAGAGTGTCAATATTTCGGCCATCTTAATGTTCAGAATCACGGTTGCCAGTTATCCAAAACTTCAACTGAAACTGCAGGAAACGGTCTTCGTTCCTTCAGAAACGTTGCAAACGGTCTGCAGCAGAGCAAAATGGCATTGTTGGAGCTTCTCAACACCGTATCTAAAGTTCGGGAGTAGGAAGTTTCTAATAGTAACAACCCCCAATTGCGCCTGCCCTGCACTAAGCACCAAAATGGCAACGTCTGCCATTTTGTAGGGAATGTAGGGAATGAAGTGCTGGAGTTCTACACATAGCCTACTTAATGGCTCTAGCCCATCGAGACTAACCTTGATGTGAACGCTGCCGAGCGACAGCCAGACCGAGAGCCGCTTGGCGAGGCTCTTGTACTCGGCGATCAGAGGTCCGTCCAGTGGCTCCGCCAGTTCATAGGCCTGAGCCTTTTTCTCTGCCAGAAAGTCCATTGCCTCCGGTAGGAACACCATCTGAATGTTGCAAAGATGCGATGAAAGGGGCATTTTGAAAGAATTTCACCAAGTCAAGAAATCGCTTGCATAACGATACGTCTGTAGGACGTCCACGTGCCACATCTGGTCTTCTATAGACGCTTTGCACACACGCCAGATTACAGCCGCCATTATACTGACCTTCCCTTGTCTTAAAGATACCGAACCATTGAAGTGGACTTTGATGAGCCTCCACAAGGGCCAATGCTGGGGAGAAGGACGCAGTTGATTCTAAAATGGTAACAATCTGTGCTGCTCTGGTAATGGTGGAGTGAAGTGATCAAAACAAGAGACAAAAACTGAAGGTCGGTTACGGCGGCGCCCATGCACAGCTACTGTAAAGCGTCTATACATGGCTTGCACCAACGTCACGTCGGCGGCCACTGCGAAAAACCTTTCTGCCGAGCACGTAGCTTCGGCGGCAAACATTTTGTACAACCAAATTTGTTTTCTTTTCGGCAGGAACAAGCAGGAATGACCATTGGTCTGGTGCGATGCGTGTGAGCCATTTATTGATTACCTTATGAACGTAACATACAGTTTGATAAAGTGAAATTAACTCTCTATTGTCGTTGAGGTTAAGAATGGCATGGAGGTCTTTAAGCTGTCCTGCCTCCAGTGCAAGCTTCCTACTTATGATAACACTTTGTCATCTTTTAAGATTCCAGTGTGCAAGCGCGACCAATCACGGCAGAGTTGGCAACGAGCGCGTGCTGGAGGTTAGGCATTTAAAAGACTGCGGTGCTCATCCTCAGTAAGTGTAGATATGGCAGATTTTATGGTCAAAAGATATAAGAGATTGAAAAAAAAAAAGAAGAAAATTCAGCACCTAAGCACTTATGAGTACTGAATGCAAAAGCATGAATGTCATTCTTCCGCTCCCTTAGTTTGTCTGCGGCGTACTGGCGTGGACGGCCACATTTCACAACTGCTGGGGTAGCGGCCGACAGCCGAACGCGCGCTCTCGTGAAGTGGCCGTGCCGTGCTGAGCTCCAACGTGCAGCCTCTCCGGAGTTTGCCCCTTTGGGCAATGAGGCCAGGCCCGCACCTCTTACCGGCGGCCGGGCCGCTGCGTGCACTGTGGCGCCATGGAAAGGGCTTCTCTGGTGGCGTTCCTTAAAACTACGCCACCCGAGAGCCAATAGGAGCTTCGTTCCTTCAAACTATAACGTGTGCCAGCGCCTATTTATGAGATTTCTGCTACAGATGACGGGCTTCGCTTCATTGGGACAGGGAAGGTGGCGTTTGGCACGGCTTCAAGAGCTGATGATGCCAGTTCGCTCCATGGGGCAGTTAATACTTTCACAATAATAGAAGTCCCCTTGTCCACTTCCACCTTGAGAGCACCGCAGACTTAAAGCCAAACTAAAATAAATGAATAAATCAAATGGAAATTTCGTCAAAAAGCCAATAAGTAACCGGACTAAAGAAAAATCGGGGCGTTGACACAAGAATGACCCAGGAGGAACCGACAGGGAGAAAGGACCCCGCAGGGCCCGACACCAGCCCAACCCCGCAAAGGGCGCAAAGGGGCACAAAAGCGCAACACTTGTGGGTCCACGATGAACCACCGCCGTAGTGACCCTTGATTTTCCCCTCCTCCTAAGGAGGAATCCCATTAAAAACCAAGCCCAGCCCAGCCCCCCCCCCCCCCCCCCCCCCCCCCCCCCCGCCTTCGGTAGAGGGGCCGGTATGTAGATATGGTAGAGAGAAGGGCATCCATGCGTACATCGAGATCAATTTAGTCACGATTGCAGCCTAAGCTGCCTACCCAAAACGGTAAGTTTTGTAGCGGAAGACTTGGAGGTACAACAAAGCACACTAACGACAGGGTGGACCACGAACATGGCCGATCAAGAGGTTGACAAATTAAAACACTCTTTGTCTACTCTAGAAAGAGAACTATCTTGTTCTTGTTCACCGTCTACAGTAGGTAGACAAAGCTCACCTGCGCCCCTCTTGACTTGGCACGGTGAATTAGATCGGAGCACGCTTGAAAATTAGCGGCCTTGTCAGACGTCGACGTCAGCTGGCACACCGCGATGGTGGAGCAGGAACTGCCAGAACTAACGTCCGTGCTGAACATTCTCCTCCACCGAGATTTCGCAAAGCGCCTGCAAAGCCCGTAGCCCCTGTGCTTGTAAGCTTGGCAGACTCCGGCCAATACTGCGGAAACAAGCAACAAACAGTTGCGTGTCAGAAAAAGGACACATACGCCAAGTTCATCAATGCACAGTTACGGCAGCTGCGGCGTCGACAAGATCAACAAGTCGCGAACAGTACGCATCTGTCAAAATTAAAGGCGAAGGACTAACCCATGACCAGGATACACGTAAAGCTGCTTTTTGTTCAGCTGGCACTGCACAGCTTATGACACAAGACAACTGGTACAACGAACGGCACAACCAGATGGGACAACGGGATCACCCAAAACTTCAGGAGCTTCGGTGGCGTGTGAGCGTGTTTGCAAATTTACTCGACGTACTCGAGTCGCTCGAGTGGACGCGACGACGCGACCTACTCCGGCAGGTCGTATTATGGTGGCTAGATAAATGAAAGTTCACAGCAGTACCCCTTTATAATGTGCGGTAGCTTGCGCCACCTTATGAAGAAACATAAAAACATCTGATGTCTTTCCCGTTTTGCTAAGCCTATTCTGCCTTTTTGGCAGTGTAGGATATCGCTAGAATGACCTTCAAGAAATCGAGAAAAGAAAAAAAGAGAAATAAATAAAACGCGCACACTTTTTAAACCACTTTTTTTCTGGACAATGGGTTTGCTAATTTTTCCCTGGCCCAACCTTGTCACCCCAACAGCTTTTACATCCGGTAGCTTATTTCTGTAAAACGCCAACAAAAACCAGCATGTCCGTTAAAACGTCTTTCAATAAAAATACGCCATCCCAAGCTTTTTGAACCCACCAAAATCAAGATTCTAATATCGCAAACTGCAAAAACAGATACCCCCGAACATTTTAAAGACCTACTGCTGTGCTTGAAAAGAGACACTGCGCTTTAGCGGTGTCGGAACGAGAGTTGAGTTGAGCCCTTTTGGTCGACTGCTGCGCGGGATCTACCTTGACTACCGTTTTTTGTTTTTTTTGTTTTTTGCCCCTTTCTCGGCACAGGTTTCTTAGCTTTTTTTTTTAAAATTAGAGGTGAAGCTACAGTTAAGATTAAAGAAGGTTGACCTGCAATAGTACTGCGCATAATTTTTGAGCTAATCACGCAAGCCCAGGCGCTCCCCCATGTCATCTTCTGCTCCTAGCACTGTGGTGCAAAGCGGTGAAGCCCAATGCGCGTGCGCTGGTGTGAGGGGGTGAAGGATGACGCGAGCAACGCAAGTGCCACGGTACGCTGTAGCAGCAGCATGGAGGCATGTGGAAGACACAGTGTTCAGTGACACTAGCAGACATGATAATCAAGTGACCTCATGAGGATAAAAAGTCCCTGGTTCTGTCTTATCGCCACAAAGTTCAGCAAGGTCCTGTTGGGCACGCACATAGCTTTCCTTACTATGACAAACTTGGGTGAACTTTTGGTTCATCGCCAGTCTGTTTATAAAGGTACTTTTCATGCTGTCCCGATCGACGATAAGCCGTGAGATAAGATCGCAACCAAACTGAAATTGAGCGACTATTGCTGTATGGGCTATACTCAGGTGCAAGTACAAGTTCGCCTTTCCTGCTCTCTTTTGATTCATAGGGAAAACGACTTCAGATCCTTATGCTTCTACCCTGGCCTCTCCGAGGGAGGGGAGGTCCGCTGTTGTGCCATATTCATGGCGCGTGAATGCTTTTAGAGAGCTTCCTTAATTTAAAAGTGTAAATTTAACTATACAATGGACTTTAGTGCTGGCAGAGTGACGCTGCGCTTCTTGGTTTTGGTAGTTGATGACAGCGACAACTGGGCCAGGTACAGAAAACAATGCGTGTGAAAGTCGTCAAGTAGGGTAGGGCTCACTCAGGCAGAACATCTGTAGTCCAAGCCGTGGTTCGGGGGGTCATCATGAAATACCATTAAGAATGCTTCTTTGTCTAGCAGTTACAGCAACAACATATATGCATTTCTTCCTGGCTGCTTTTATAATTCTGCTTTGTAACGTTTCATCAAGGGGAATTCTAAAGAATCAAGAGCAAAAGGAAATGAAGAGTGTTTCCTTTGTAGAATCGAGGTCATTTTGACCCCTGCATTAGCCGCAAGTTGATATAATGAATAATCGCCACCTGAAGCAAAACTACTCGCAAACAAGACGATAGTCCTTCCCAAACACATGCACCATTTGGAACCCCCACCAAAATTACCTTCTACAGAGACTGGAAGCTGTCCAAAACAAAGCGCCAAGATCTATATGCAACAGCTGCCTACCGGAAGCTGAAGTCTCGGCCTTCAAAACTAGTAATAATCTCTCTTCTCTTGAACAAAGACGTAAAATAGCTCGGTTGTGTTTTTTTTTTTTTTTACAATCTATTACGGCGATTCGAATTTTAAATCAGTTTACTGCCGCCCTGCCGGTTTAACATAACCAATATTAAATCATTCTGGCAAAACAACCATTATTGAGTCGCACTTACACTTTCCTTTTCTCTCCCTTAGCACCTTGCATCAGAGACTGGATGCATTACCTGATATTACAGTTACAAAACAATGGGCCAAAAATAACGGATTCAAGTTTGCCTGGCACGGGAGTGGAAACATGTTTGTTCGGAAAGAGGAGAGAACGAGCGCTATTCCTATCTCTACTGACAATAACTTGTGTGGTCTTTCTTAGAATGATCATGGTCATAATCGTGATTTGTCCTTTTAATTTCATTTTTCCTGGTCAGTGAAGACGTTGTACTCTCGCAAAATTTGAAACGTTATCTTGGTGAAGATTATATTTCGTGCATGACATGTTTTCATTTAAATGTTCAGTCAGCGAGAAACAAAGCTTAAGTTGCTTTTTGATCAATTGGGTTTTTCTTTTGAAACAATAGTGCTTACAGAATGACAGTGATGTATTAAGATTGCCAATGTACCGCTCGTTCTATAATAATAGTACTGTGAAACAGGGGCGGATCCAGACCTCCATATTAGGGGGGGCGGTTCCTCGGTGTAGAACGGCGGGGGGGGGGGGGGGGGGGTGGGAGGGGGGGAGTGTTTATATTTTTTGTGGAGTTATCGTTTTTACTAAACTCTGATAACATAATATATATCTTGAGAGCTTTTGTATCGGTTTACCTGTCGGGGATGAACTCTTTGAATTAAAACCTTTCGGGTGACCACGCTAGAGGTAAGTATCTCGAAAATTGTGGTGACACTATCCTTTCTGAAACTTGGGTTTCAGACCGACACTACGTGAGCAGTCGATTTAGGGCAGCTTAAAGACATTGCCTTGGCAGACATTCTGGTTGGAGCTAGTGCTCAACTGCTGCGGCAACGGGAAGAGCGGCTTAAATCACAGGAGCGAGTACGTTGCAAACAAGCGACAAAAATGGCCCGGCGGCTTCGACGCTGCTCGCGGCGTCAAAACACGATTGACGCAGCGAGCGAAACGAACACTGCCATGCAAGTTCGTCGGTTGTTCGCCGTATATTTGGAATGTCTAGAGCTCAGCACACGCGGCATTGCCAACCCAAACTCGTGTTTTCACGTGTTCTGGATGCAACTCGAGAGAAAGAAAGCGAATAATTGTTGAATATTTTTGAAAGCATGTTGTAGTTCGGCAACTATAACTTTTGAACTTAGACAAGACCTTAAACCAGCAATGGATCCTTCCAAATTATATTCAATTGCGCTTCGTCTGGATATTTTCTGTATCAAAGGAACACTTACTTGTTTCTGGGTAGTTAGCTCATTCGTCAGGGTCGAGAGGACAGGTGCTGAGATATGATAGGGCAGAGCGGTTGTAAGGTCGGCGAATCTCAACTGGGCTAAAGGCCGATCACGACTGGAGCATGGACGTTTCGGAGTCGGTGTTCACTCGAACGGGCACAGGCACTGTCTATTTAATTTATGTATAGCCGCATCTTTGAAAGGGCCTCGTTTACCCCGAATCCGTTCGACACACACATATTCGCTCTTGCAAAGCCGCGCGAAAGCTCTGCCGTCAATCCACAGAAGCCGCGTTTAACTGGAAAAGACGGCGCCAAGGGGAGACAAGGGGTAGCGGGCGCCTTTCCTAAAACATGTTTCGCCACCCTAAGTTGAAACGGCATTGTATACAAATAAATGTTTACGGCGTCGGCTTGAAGACCCCGTGTAAGCAGCCTCCAGCCTTTGGAGTGCTCGTACCGTTTATCTTTTTTTATTAGCTTCCCGCCACGAGAAGTCGTACCGCAGGCAGTATGAAGCCGATTAGAGGAAACATCTCCCCCTTCTGGCGCTCGTCGGCTTCTTTCTGTATTCCGCGCTGCGGCGCTGATCCTCAGTGAGGGATGGAGGCGAGGGCGAAAGCGGGCTTATGTTTAAGCCAAGGTCGTGGGGAAGTCCGGAGCGTCTTCAGGAGAAGCTCAGACCCTGACTACACTGTACTCAGAGCATTTGCTTCCTCTCTCAGTTGAGAAGAAAAGCAATTGGTGTCCTGGTTGTACAAGCTGCATCCCCCCCCCCCCCCCCCCTGGAACGTCTCCTCCCGGTACGTCCCCTCCGCACTTCCCTTGGCAATGAGCACACCGTGCCAATAAGATACCTTTATTGAGCCCGTGGGCGACAGCATCTCAAAGCAAGCCAAAAAAGACATGCCAAAAGACAAGCCCAGAGCCACGAAGAAACCATCAAACGAAAAGTGCTGAAAAGGCGGCCGCTAGAGAGGAAGGATAATCCACTACCCTTGAGGAAGGCTGCTTGACGTCTGCGTTTGGGAGCTTTCAGGGCACAAATTTTTCGCAAACAACCCCCAAAGAGAGAGAGGGAGACAGAGAGAGAGAGAGAGAAAGGGGACTAGATATGTTGAAGGTATTTTCCCCCCGTGCGCGACGTGCTGGCCTTGTTTGGAAGTGTGCCTGCAGTCGAGGACCCTGATATTTGGTGCGCCTCCTCCCCACTGTCTCCCCACTTTGAAAGTCCTGGCGCCGTCCATGTCGGGAAGACGTACCCTGACCTTGACGGAGATAAACCCCACTTTGGAGGCGCCCAGCAGGCGCGTCCACCCACCGCTGTTTTAATCTTTTGTTTCTCGCGTCGATTGCTTACGTTTTTTCTTCGAGCTGACGAATAACCCCGGGGGGGGGGGGGGGGGGGGGGGGGAGTGTTGCCTGGCGAGGCGTAAGGGGGGGGGGGCGATCGCCCCCACCGCCCCCCCCTTGGATCCGCCACTGCTGTGAAACGTGGTGGTGGTGCAACCATTTTAACGAAAGGTTCTCTTTCCGAGTTGGTAAGCGATTTCAGTTGTATTACATAGGATTACGAAATATTGTGTTTCCGAAGCAAGCAGAATGTTTTTGCTGTACAGGGTGTGAGGGAGACGGCAGGCTCTTTAAATCAACCGGAAAATTCGGTTTCTTAACCTATCGCGCTACGACTTTGTGCAGCGTTGCCCACAGATGGTGAATTTTTTTTGTAAAATTTGCAAAGAGCGAACTTACCTGAGGAAAGTAAAGAAAGAAAAAGGAAATGCAACGACGACACCGGTCTGCAAACAACACGGCGCCGTTTTTTCTACTCGTCGGAGGAAATTTTCCTCCGACGGCCGGGAGCGGATCGCGGCAGAGCGCGGCACGATTTGGCGGAGTCGCGGGTTTTGTAGTGTCCTGTCTGGACATCCCTTGACGCGGTACCACTCCGCCACAGGTGCAACTGTCTTCTTTCAATTTTGTCCCGAAGGGACAAAATTGAAAGAAGACAAAATTGAACCAGCGACCTCTCGTTCGGTAGTCTGACGCGGTACCACTCCGCCACAGGTGCAACTGTCTTCTTTCAATTTTTTTCCGCAGGGACTTTTTCCTCTCGTCCCTCGGCTGGAATTGAACCAGCGACCTCTCGTTCGGTAGTCTGACGCGGTACCACTCCGCCACAGGTGCAACTGTCTTCTTTCAATTTTTTCCCGAAGGGACTTTTTCCTCTCGTCCCTCGGCTGGAATTGAACCAGCGACCTCTCGTTCGGTAGTCTGACGCGGTACCACTCCGCCACAGGTGCAACTGTCTTCTTTCAATTTTTTCCCGAAGGGACTTTTTCCTCTCGTCCCTCGGCTGGAATTGAACCAGCGACCTCTCGTTCGGTAGTCTGACGCGGTACCACTCCGCCACAGGTGCAACTGTCTTCTTTCAATTTTTTCCCGAAGGGACTTTTTCCTCTCGTCCCTCGGCTGGAATTGAACCAGCGACCTCTCGTTCGGTAGTCTGACGCGGTACCACTCCGCCACAGGTGCAACTGTCTTCTTTCAATTTTTTCCCGAAGGGACTTTTTCCTCTCGTCCCTCGGCTGGAATTGAACCAGCGACCTCTCGTTCGGTAGTCTGACGCGGTACCACTCCGCCACAGGTGCAACTGTCTTCTTTCAATTTTTTTCCGCAGGGACTTTTTCCTCTCGTCCCTCGGCTGGAATTGAACCAGCGACCTCTCGTTCGGTAGTGTGACGCGGTACCACTCCGCCACAGGTGCAACTGTCTTCTTTCAATTTTTTCCCGAAGGGACTTTTTCCTCTCGTCCCTCGGCTGGAATTGAACCAGCGACCTCTCGTTCGGTAGTCTGACGCGGTACCACTCCGCCACAGGTGCAACTGTCTTCTTTCAATTTTGTCCCGAAGGGACTTTCCTCTGATTCACCCACACTTTTCCCAGTTGTCCGAATCCCAGATTTCAATTCTGTGGTAAGCAAACACTAACATTAGATTATTTATTACGTTATAGCTACAGCGGATCGTGAGTCAATTGCTTAACGGTGAATCCAGCCACAATCGCTTGACGACTGCCGCTTTGCTACGGCCTGCAGCTTCAGCAGAAGCTGCATAGAGACAGCTTCACCAGGAGGTGCACAGAGACAGTGATTTAGTTGAGCTTCCTGAGTTCGTCGCTGGAGACGCGGCACAGCGGGCACGCAATACTACGGCGTTGGATCACCGTCTGAGCAGTGGCCATTACCGTGGTCGCTAGTCAGTGCCACCAGGCGCCATTTCACTTACTGCCGCCGTTTTTGGAACGTTCGTTTCCTCCGACCAAAAGAGACTCAGCAGGCCGTCCCCAGCGTAGTGGAAAACAGAATTGAGCGACCGTGATCCAGATAATGAAGTAAAAAATGAAACAACAATAAAACAACGCCCTATTGAAAAATCCGGCAAAAACTTCCAGTGACATTCGGTGAAAACTGTTCAAGTTTCATTCGTTTTCACGCGAAACCAGCGTTGTTTACCAGTATTTGCTGAAAGATTTGCCGGATGCTATTCTCAGTTACCAGATTTCGATGGTACTTTACCCGCAGCCACTTTCGTTTACCAGACGACCCGGCTTTGGTGGAAATTTTACCTGAAACGAGAGATTCGTTTCCCCTTTTACCGAACTTCATTAAAAGCCGACAAGAGGGGAAGGAAAAGCCGGACAAGTCCCCACGCATCCTCTCTTTCACACATTATATTCGTGGGGAAAATGTTAGGTTTTTTGGGGTTTTTTTTGCTGTCTGTTTTGAAGAAAGCCGGGTTCTTTGTCCGTCAACCAGCAACGGCCACGAACGGACGATCACTGTCGGCTTCCCGTTCCATGTGTGCGACCTGTATCTTCTAGAGCAGCTGGGTGTGCGCATAAAAATAAAATATTTCTCAGTGACCTGTTTTTTTACGCCGCTCTTTCCATCCGGCTTCAGAAGCATCCAGCGAGTGAAGACGACGCCGGAGCCACCTCTGTGGCGGCATCAGGAACGACACCGTGACTGTGCCCAAGATTTCTCAACGGCGGCAGATTCTCGTTCCGCGCGTTCGTGGTTTTCGCTAAGCGTGCTACTGACAGTGTCTATGTGTCCGCGTGGTGCGCCCGCGGCGACGGCATCAGGGTCGACACCTAGAATGTGCCCGTGATCTCTCAACGGCGGCGAATGTTGGTGGCGCGTTCGTGGTTTTCGCTAAACGTAATGACAGTGTGTGTGTGTCCGTGTAGACACACACAGATGTACGGTAGTTCAACTAATAAAACCTGCTCGGTTTTCTTAGTTGAACTACCGTGCATTTAGGAATTTACCCAGCGGCATTGCAAGCACCTCGATATTTTTTTTGCAGCAAAAAAACTCGGTTGTTCTTATTTGGTCTGATTGCTTTTGTCTACAATTGCGGAAAATGTTTCACTGCTATCGACCTTGTGAAACAAAGACATGAAACTTTCAGGTCTATATGAATTAACCGTTCTAATTGTTACCGAATCGTAAAGCATCTGCAGTAAACATACACCACCCACGGTTCACAGGCTTCTTCTAAATGCCTTCCGTTGACGTCCAAAAAAAAAAATAAAAAATACGGTACGTTCCGGTGAATTGCGGCAAATACGGTGACTTCCAAAATTTTCTATGGAATCCAGGCGAATCCGGTGACTTCCGCCGAGTTCCGGCTTTACCGGAAATAAAAAGAATCCCATAATCCAGTAAAATATATTTTTTACTGGAAATGAAATTCCGGTAAGAAAGCCGGTGACTTCCAGTAAATTCCGGCTTTACCCGAGGTGAAAAGAGTCCCATAATGCAGCAACAAAATATTTTACTGAAAATAAAGTTCCGGTAAATATTCTTTTTCAGTAAAGCGTGGTTTGGATCGAAAAACAGATGGGTGGGCAGGAACAATTAGCAAGCGAGTCATGCGAGTTGTGGCTGCACGCGATTGTTTTTTCCTACCAGACGGTACTTCTGGACAAGCCTTTAGTTAAATACGCTCCACTCCATTGCAGTGATGGGTAATTGATTAATATTTTGATTGGTGATTGGCTTCCTCTGCGGGAAAGTACATATGCTTATTTTTTTCCAGGGCGCTCGGATTAAAATTCCTGTATAAGCTCCCTACGGGAGCTGCAGAGTTGCGCGTCTGTTTTCCACGTGCCGCCGCGCCGCTATTCAGCGAGATCCGGTCACGTGAGGAGCCGGATGAAGTGCCGTGCAGGAAAGTAGACGTTGCACGCGCCCCGGTTCCCCTGCTTTTGAGCGCGCCGCGCGCCTCGAACGCGCGGCGCCGCTATTCGCCGAATTCAGTCACGTGACGAGCGGGATTAACATGCCATGCAGGAAAGCCGGCGCTACGGAGATGTACGCGCAACTCTGGCTCCCGTAGGGAGCCTATATAGGAACTCTAGCTCAGATAACCAAAAGCCTGCCACCTACTCACGAATCTCTTCAAATGAAGGTGCAGGAAAAAGATTAACCTGGTGTCATCGACAAAGAAATACAGGGCGTAGCGAATTCCGCGCACTTTATTGTCAATATGAAGCCAATACTATTCAGGCATTAATCAATAAGGACGCCAAAGAATGAGTCACGAAGCAACATGCGTGAATATATTAAGCCAGCCTCTGCGTTTTTTTGAGCGGCCAGTGGTTGTAAATATTGACAAGATCGAACCTCCTCGCGACGACTGACGAAGTTTTTATTCTTCTTTATGCACGGACGCAGGTTGCCAAAAACGCCTGCACGAACCGCGACCTCTACGCTAACTTCACGGAGGGAGCGATTCAAGGTTTTGACACTGCAGCAACGCGAATGGGAGACTGCCTAGCGCCGGCGTACAAGGACGTCGTCCCAACTGTCTCGTGCACCCTGGACCTCGATGGCATCAACGCCACGTTCCTCGCATTCGTAAGCAACTACTGCGTACATGCTCGTCTGCTCCTTCGTGCGCTTAGTGCGTTTGTTCACCCCCCCCCCCCCTCCCTTACACACGCACACAGTCACGTGCTTTTTTTTTCCCCACGACCTCAACCAATGATGGTTCGAGCTTGGCTGCCTAGTTATCGCGCGTTGCCAGTGCCTTCACTCTGCTGCCCTCTGATTGGCGTGCTCCTCCTTCCATTCCGACGCTCCAAAGACGTCTTTCGGAACACTTGCTCGCCATATATTTTCTAACAGCTTAATAAACAGGGCGTGGCGAATCTTGAACATTTTTTTTTGCGTTTTGTAGGCAATGAGTTGGCAGCATTTTGCAATAGGAAGTTTTAGGGAACTATTTTTGCACATCCGATAGGGTACGGTGGGCCGTAAGCTACGAACTGCGCGTGCGCGAATCTTCTGCGGTGGCATATACGCATTTCGTACCAGAGGGCCCGTATCAGATGTGCAAAAGCGGTTCCCTCATACTCTCTAAGATGAACGCACGAAGAACGATTCACGAAGTAAGAAGCGTGAGAAAAGCACGACATGCCGTGGCTTTTATTTTCGCTATCAGTGACTGTAGGGAAGCTTCACGGTTCCCCATTGGTGTACATTTTTATGTGGTAGAACTGGGGAGGTTTTCGCACATGTCCGTTCGACACAGCCCTAAAAAACTCGCCATTTGTACTAGACGGCATCATTAGATGTCTTGGTCCGATGTCTGTGAGGCATCTAGAAAAAATTCGAGCTGAAATTTGTTTTTATTATTTATCTCGTTTGGAGAAGTGAGGCATAAAAAAACGAAAGAAAACCCGGATGTTTGTTGACATGTGTCCCTCCCCCACACCAGCAGTGAAAAGTTTGGTTACGCACAATATAAAAAAAAAGTAATATAGCCGCACACTAAACGTATAAAGTAATATGCTGGTGTTACTAGAAGAAAGAAAACAATCAATGAACCCAGATTTTCCTAATTCCCTACAGCAAAGGAAAACTTTTCTGCAACGATTCGGAGGCTTCCTTTATGCTTCTTCGTTTCACGCGACGAATCGCCGCAAGGTTTGCCACCCAAATTGCATTGTATACACCGACGTATTCGCAGACTTTGAGTTTAGTGTAACTTTATTACAGAGCCGCTATGTTAGAGGAGTCGCGATTTTACCTCCAGAACAACAGAAATCGCGCTGTTTTTTAACATGATAAAAGTAGCGGAAATGGGCGGGACAATTATCAAAAAGAACCACGCGGACAGGTGCTATGCATGGTCGATCTGGATCTCTTTGACTGTGATCTAATCCAGCAATCTACTATTTTACTCTTGGATAGTAATTCTAGCATGTGAAATGAGTTCGACAATTCGTCTCTGCTCAATCCCCCCCCCCCCCCCCCCCTTTTTTTTTAAATCTTTCAGACAAGAGGAGAAGATTTGTGGTCATCTCTGAATGAAATCTGGGTCCACGTTGTCGTCGTTGATTCCGTCACTCGGTTCGAGGCGACCGGCTTTGGCGAACGAGAGAGCCAGCTCCGGTCTTTGGAGCTGTTGCAGATCCGCTTCAACACGACCTACAACAAGGGCCTCAGTCTGAACACCGAGCGGCAGAGGCAGTTTAAGAACCACATCGAAGACAAGGTCAAGGAGATACTTCAAGAAACGCTCTACGGCAAATACAAATCTCTACTGAGTAGAGCTATCAGAGTTACCGCTTTCCTCGACGTATAAGTATGTTCCATAGTTTTGTTTTGAATACATATTTGAAACAATAAAACGCTAAAACTCAGAAATGCATATTGTTGTTAATAAATAAAACTTGGAAAACTAAGCTCGTATAAAACTGATGGAACATAAAACTAACTTAGCAGACTGTTTGAGCTACCTTGGCGCCATCGTTGCGTACCATGTGCAGGTAGACGCCAGGTAGATGCACTGAGAGCAGATATCCCGGCAGAGTGTAAAACTTGGAGGACGCTTCAGCTTTGCCTTTAACAATGGAACGCGATAGCGTAATCGGGCCCCGTTCGCATCGCCTTCTCATTCGCTTCGCATGCTAGGAGACGCGAGTGCGCTCCGAGATCCGGAGATGGTATCGCATTTCTGGATCCGAATTTCGGGGGCGATAGCGTTGTAGATGTGCCCTCTGAATACCGTTTTTTTGCTGCCGACACTGCCAGCCAGTGACCCGTTGAAGTGCACGGACTTTTTGCATGCCGATATTGGAACAAGGCCGTACCGCATTGAGGATTTTAAGGAGCCGCTGCGGCAACTCGGCGTCCTGAAGGGAGGGGCTGGAAGGGGGGTGTTTCAAATGGGACACGTGTGGACCGTTTGTTTGAAGTCAACTGCGGCCAAGGGCCAGCCGTTGATGCCTGACAAGTTCCTGGTGAAGGGTGCTTGGTGTGTGCCACTCGATCCTGATCGGCGGGAGGTACACATCAAGTTGCACTGGGTTCCACTTGACCCCCCCCCCCCCCCCCCCCCCCCCCCCCATATTCAACAACACCCTCAAGAAGACGCTGGGAGAGTATGGCGCGGTTAGAGAGTAAACCGTGAAAAGTGACACATTGAAAGGTTTAAAGGCATCGACACAACAACCTGCGTGGCACGCCTAACGTTGAAGCAAGCGACTTCGCTGGAGCGCCTGCCGCACCAGATGCGGGTCTCGGGTGGTGCATCGCTCGTGGTTGTCCTGGGACGTGCGCCGCAATGCCTACGGTGCTAGAGATCCGGACATATTAGACGTGACTGCAAGGCACCTTGCTGCAGTGTGTTCCGTAGCTACGGTCACGAGCGACAGGATTGTGTCCGATCCTACGCACGTGCCGCGGGTGCTCGGAGAGCTGAAGACAAAAGAAGTGAACATGTTATGGACGAGGAACAGGCGGAGGGTGCTGCGGCGCCTTCAGCACATGTCCGGTCATTGACAGCATCGACGCCCGTGAAGTCATTTACCGGTGGCTACAGAGCTCGTCGAAGAACGCAGTGAGCAAGAGGGGACCAAAAAAATGGCCTCCGACGGAAGCTACGACCACCAAGGGGTCATCAGCAGCAGATTCAGTGGATGCGAGGACGCCAGAAACTGCGAGGAACTGCGACCCTGCACTGAAAGACGACGCATCACTCGCGACAGCCGCACGGGCGACGGAGCGGAATATTCGGGAAAAGGCCAACGCTCCGACGCCAAATCTGAATTTCAAGGAGGACAAGGACGCCGACATGACCAATACGAAACGGTGAATGGAAGACATAGAAGCAGTCACGGGTGAACTGGGGGGCTATGTTGCGCTTTTTGCACTCCCAGGAGACTAGGGAGAGGGAAGTGACGTCAACGACACAGCAAATGCAGATTGGATGTTGACAGAAGAAAACGAAATCAACACCCAATCTGCGTTTGCTGTGTCGTTGACGTCACTTCCCTCTTCCAAGTCTCCTGGGAGTGCAAAAAGCGCAACATAGCGCCCCTGGCACTTCGTCGTCTGGAACATCAGAGGACTCTCGTCGGCAAAAAAAAAAAAAAAAAAGGCCGATACTCGACGCCGAGCCGTTGGCCGTCCGGGACCCATGACGGACGGCTGTCTCAGTAAAATCAGGACTTACCTGACTTACCAAAATAGCGACTGCTAGATCGTCTGCGTAAGTTTGTGTCGTGTCCGCTCGTGTGTACCAGCCCCATGAACGGAACGTGAAAAACGACGACGACACGGGCACGTGCGATTCCTGGGGCGATCGGGCGCCATTCACCTCGAAAGCTTTCATGAGAAGTATTTCTTGATGTAAACGATGTAAATGAGCATGTACAGTCATTATTTCAACTAGTAAACATTGGCAACGAGGATGGGATATCACCCTGGCAACGGAAAGTGCGGTCAAGCAGCAGGAATTAATCAAAGGAATGTCCAACCCACCGGAAATTAAAAAAGCGTCCAACAGTGCAGTCTCGGGAAAGACATCTTACAAGGCAACAAAAGTGGAACAACGCTGTTGGCGCTGTGATGAACATCACAGCCCAAAAACATGCAGGTTTGAGACAGCCACGTGCCACTACTGCCACAAACAAGGCCACGTCGAAAAAGCATGCATTCAAAAGAAGAAAACTTCCAAGAAAGGACTCCAACGTAGCAACCACGTGGACACAGCACGAGCGACTCCACCAGTGAACCATTCTTAGCAACAAATGTCAACTCTGCATGACCAACACTCAGTAGCCAGTGAGGCCATCTCTCCAAAGTTAACAGTGATGGTTCACGTGAACAACAAACCATTGACATTTGAAGTGGACTCAGGTGCCGCTTGTACAATGATCAGCATTGACACTTTTCGGGCAACCTGGCCAAGCAGCTCACCGGAGTTGAAACAAGGTGACATTCACCTCACGACCTGTGGTGCTATGTTGGGCTTTTTGGACTCCCAGGAGACTAGGGAGAAGGAAGTGACGTCAAAAACGCAGCAAATGCAGATTGGATGTTGATTTTGTTTTCTTCTGTTAACAGCCAATCTGCGTTTGCTGTATCGTTGACGTCACTTCCTTCTGTCTACTCTCCTGGGAGTCCAAAATGCGCAACATGGCACCCCTGGTCCGGCCAGGCACTGTAAGTCTCCGGTACAACAACGGTGGCTGTTAGCCACAAAGACAAGACGTACCAGCTACCCCTACTTGTGGTTCAAGGCTCTGGATGCAGCTTGCTTGGACGTTTACATCGTTTATATCAATAAATACTTCCCATGAAAGCGTTCGAGGTGGATGGCGCCCGATCGCCCCAGGAATCGCACGTGCTCGTGTCGTCGTCGTTTTTCTCGTTCCGTTCCTGGTGCTGGTACACACGATTGGACACGACACCTCTTCCCCCTATGAGGAGTTCCTGTATCTGGCAGGCGGACGTTTCATCCTGGTCGATTTGCGCAGCACAGGTTTTTCAACAGATGACTTCGAGTCGTTACTTTCTCGCTTGTGGTTACACTTCCGAATGTGGTTCAAGTGTCGGCGAACTGTCTCTTCTCCACACTGCACCAGCCATGTGCGTGGATCGAATTTCCTGACCAATGTGCCTCTTATCCATTCAGGTTTTTGCAGGAACTGTCGGATCATGACATTTCGTCCCAAAGCAGCTGGCAGTTTCTAGGTAACTTCTCTGTTGCCAGTGGTGTAGGTTTGGTGGGCACAACAAGGTCTAGAAGAGTCGGTAATTTCCTTTCCGAACATTGCCTTAGCCGGGGTCATGTTCGTCGTCTGGTGGACTGTGCAGTGCTGACGGAATAAAAAGCTCGACAGACGTTATGCTTCGGGACAGGCTTGTCTGTGGCGTCCGGAATGGACGCCTGCAACAGCGACTGTTCACCGAGAAAGACCTGACTTTTCAACGAGCCTGGGACATCGCCCTGGCAACGGTAAGTGCGGCCAAGCTCAATACTCCTAAGAATGGGACATTGCATGCGCCTGGACTGCGCATAGGTACCCTGAATTTGAGAGGGCTTTCAGCTAGACGGAAGCAGTACCAACTCAGGCGCCTTTTTATTGAAAATAACTTAGATGTTATTGCCGCGAAGGAGATTAAAATTGAAAGTGAAGAGCTTATTGACTGAATGGCTCGCCAGTTTCATTCACGTTACAATGTTTGTGTCAGCCATGCGGTTGGAATGTCGGTTGGCGTCTGTGCATTTTAATAACTCAATCAGTATTAGAAAAGATTCATTCTAAAGTTGATGGGCGCCTTGTTTTTTGTGACTTCCGTTTGATGGATTTGAACTGCCCAGCAATCTGTCGATAAGCTCCGAACTCGGAAGAACACCAGAGTATTTTCTTTGAAAGTATAGCGTGTTACTTAAAGTGTGACTAACTTTTAGTGTTGGCTGATTCTAACTCTACTTGTGATCCAGAAAATAGGGCGTCACAAAGACGCGCCACTAGGAGAGTAGTGCCTCTGTTTGAAGTGAGATAGTAAACAACCACGCCCTGGAAGATATAGCCCACAGCACGACAGGTGCAAAGGGCGTGGAGTTATTTCCTTATTTCCAAGGACACGGTCACGGGCGACTAGACAGGGCGTACGGCTCAGCAGAGCTCGTCCTCCTGAGTGATGCCTACCAGGTTCATCACGTCAATTTTAGTGACCATTGTCTGGTGACTTTTGAGCTGGGTGCTGAAACGAAAGAGCGTCCCCCATTTAACTAGGAAATCTGGAAAATTAACACCAAGCTTATTGAGGACGATATCTTCATCGACACTGTTAGAAAGCTGATCAAATATTTAAAAAAAAGTGGTCACATTTTCGATACATGGGAAGCGTTTAAAGTACAGGGTGTCACAAGAGAAAATTTACAAGGTCTTTTTTACCGCAAAAATAAAATAGGCATCGCCGAACGCTCATTTTCCGCCCAAAGGTAGCGCCAGAGGTCACAACCAGATGCCAAAGTTTCAGCCCGATCCGACAACTTCATCAAGAGTTATAAGTGATTTTCTGAAAATTTCAATGGTAAAATGGCGGCCGACGAAGTTTTCAAACACATGGGGCTCTATGGCACCAGAAACCGAAAACGGGCAAAAATAACGCTCCATTTTCCCATTGAAATTTTCACAAAATCACTTATAACTTTTGATTAAGTTATCGGATCGGGCTGAAACTTTGGCATCTGTTTGTGACCATTAGCTCTACTTTATGCGGAGAATGAGCGTTCGGCGATGCCTAGTTTTTTTTTTCGGTAAAAAATACCGTGTAAATTTTCGTTTG